ACCAGTGTATTTGCTACCTACGTACCCATACCTTGCGCGACCTTTTTGCACATATCTTTTGAACCAGGTAGAATATTTCAATGAAATAAAAACCAAAATGTGTATTCGTTGTTACTCTACAAGTATATTATTATAAATTATATTATTTTGTTTTGCATTTATCAGGACAACAACAAAAACAAAAATCCACTGTTGCATGTCCTGACTTTATTTGCCCATATCGCTGGAACCAGTAGGAATATTCGAATGAAACAAAAGACAAAATACTTGTTATATATTAAAATATACATTTCAAAAAAAAATCATAGAAATCGGTTAAATAAGCATTAAAAAAACCGCAAAATAAGGTCCCGGGTACAAACGTATCCCGGGTGTGTGTTTACGTGATATTTTCTGGGTGTGTGTTCCAGGGTTAAAGTTGCTAAAAAATCGCGTTGATTGTTGGCAATTTCTAAAAAATCTGAATAAAAAGTTGCAAATTAGTGTTCAAATTTGATGAATTTTCCTGAGTTTTGCACAAAGTTTAGAGATTTTATTATTATGTTTTATGGTGTAGAATGAACAATATTTTTATAAAAAATTATCGAAAATAAATTAGAATAAAAAACTTTATATTGCGAAAAAATCACTGTGCCAATACTTCTGTTCGGCACTGTACATATCGCTCTTAGCCTCCTTAACCTCCGTGTTGAAAATTTTTTAAACCGATGTCATACGATGAGTTTTGTAAATGGTGTAAGAATAGGGCTGTGAGATTAATACAAGGATGAAGGAAGTTGGATATGCAGATGAAGAAAAGGATGAAGGCAAAGATGAAAACTAAAATAAGGATACGAAAAGACAGATAGAAATGAATGTAAATTTAAATATTTAATATAAAGGTGAATGTGAATGTGTACAAATATAATTATAAAAACAAAAGTAAATAAAGGGATAAAGATGAGAATAAAGGTAAAGATACCTATAGATAAAAGGTAAAGATAAAGATAAAGATAAAGACAAAGACAAAGACAAAGACAAAGACAAAGACAAAGACAAAGACAAAGACAAAGACAAAGACAAAGACAAAGACAAAGACAAAAACAAAAACAAAGACAAAGATAAAGATAAAGGCAAAGATAAAGACAAATATAAAGATAAAGATAAATATAAAGATAAAGATAAATATAAAGATTAAGATAAAGATATTGTCAAGTACAGATAGTCAGTCGTGGTCATTCGCTGAGAGCGGACGTGTCGGTGGGAGTCGGGGAACAGCGCATAACAACGAGCGCAAATCAGCAGTCACATATTCACATTAAATTAAACGTTGTTCGTTTATTATTCATTTATATTAATAAACTACTAACATTTATTAAACTAAAAGCCTAAATCGAGTCATTCCTGCAGCATCAGAACTAGATTGCGAACAAACTTCTACGAAAGCGAACGTGCAGCTGCACATTTCAGTTGCGAAAATTTTAAAATCCAATAAATCGTTAAGGCCGGTCCACATAGAACTTTCGCGTTGGCTTTGGCGTTGGCGTTGGTTTGACAGAACGCACGTTAAAAGCATGCTTGCTACAATGAACGCTTGGCAGCGAATGCTTGGGTCACTAAAATAACATACTAACGCCAGATAAATTAATATTTCATATCAATAATTGCATTAAAAACGATATTTCTTGCCCGCACTTGATTAAAAAGGAAAAATATTTCACATAATTTTATTTATTTACAACAGCTGACGAGCGACGCACGCGAAAACAAAAGTTGGCGTTGCCAAATTTTGGCTATATATATTCATAGTCAGCTGTTGAAGGGCCTTTAGTGAACTCAGTGCGTCAGCAACCAAACGCAAATACAAAGTTCTGTCGCACCGTAGCAGAGCTCAGTTGCGCGAGTTAATAAGAATACGCAGTCGCAACGACAACAGTAATCGTGATTTTACTTGAATTCAATGAATTCTAGATAGCTGAGAATTTTCCAACGAAAATCACGACCAAATTATATTCGCTATTCTGCTACGTTGTTGGACAGAAATTGCAAAAGCTAAGAGCAACCGAAAACACAAGAGAGGCATATAGGGTTGCCAGATTTTGAAACGGAGAAAGGAGTACATTTATATTTTCGATAGAAAAAAAGAGGTACATGACATAAAAAATGAGTACAATTTTTTTTTTTTAATTTTTTGTGCAATTTATTGTTACAAAATACCATTAATTAGGCACAAACAAACAAAGATCTTTTTCAAAGCAACAATAAATGTGAAAGATAACAATATGGGTTGGCTTTCCAATAGGGACGGTTGTTAAAGAGACGGTGATCGAAGGGGGAGTGTACGTGGCACCTTTTCCGACCTTTTTGGAGAGGGCATGAACCGCCATTGACAAAAATGTTACTCCCGACCACCTAGGGCCCCTATGGTTCCCCAGGGACCCCTCAGAAAAATTGCCAAAAGTCACAATTTTCACTTGCGTCCACAGTATTTTTGCGTAGAATTCGGTTCTCAATGACCGCCCTAATAGGAAAGTTTCCCTAACTAAAAAACTAAAAACTACAAAAGAATTCCAGACCCTTCCTGAATGTATGGCCATTTTTTAAATTTAAGCCTAATAATTAATTTAAGTTTGNAGAGAGGCATATAGGGTTGCCAGATTTTGAAACGGAGAAAGGAGTACATTTATATTTTCGATAGAAAAAAAGAGGTACATGACATAAAAAATGAGTACAATTTTTTTTTTTTAATTTTTTGTGCAATTTATTGTTACAAAATACCATTAATTAGGCACAAACAAACAAAGATCTTTTTCAAAGCAACAATAAATGTGAAAGATAACAATATGGGTTGGCTTTCCAATAGGGACGGTTGTTAAAGAGACGGTGATCGAAGGGGGAGTGTACGTGGCACCTTTTCCGACCTTTTTGGAGAGGGCATGAACCGCCATTGACAAAAATGTTACTCCCGACCACCTAGGGCCCCTATGGTTCCCCAGGGACCCCTCAGAAAAATTGCCAAAAGTCACAATTTTCACTTGCGTCCACAGTATTTTTGCGTAGAATTCGGTTCTCAATGACCGCCCTAATAGGAAAGTTTCCCTAACTAAAAAACTAAAAACTACAAAAGAATTCCAGACCCTTCCTGAATGTATGGCCATTTTTTTAATTTAAGCCTAGTAATTAATTTAAGTTTTCAGGGACCCCTCAGAAAAATTGCCAAAAGTCACAATTTTCACTTGCGTCCACAGTATTTTTGCGTAGAATTCGGTTCTCAATGACCGCCCTAATAGGAAAGTTTCCCTAACTAAAAAACTAAAAACTACAAAAGAATTCCAGACCCTTCCTGAATGTATGGCCATTTTTTAAATTTAAGCCTAATAATTAATTTAAGTTTGATTTTTATACCCGAGCGCCCTGCCGTTAAGGCCATGCTTACACCTTTTCACTATCACACTTAACTTTGCTTACTAAGTAGTGTTTGCCACAATATAAATCGCAACGTCCAGCGTGTAAAATAACAACAGTCTCAAAGGTTTTTTGAAAATAAAAGGGTTCTTTATAGATTTTGTGTTTTTTTTTGTTAACTTTGTAAATATTTTACTTTAATTTTATTAATTGGTTTTAAAATTTTAATCCTGATCTGCATTTGCCATATTTGGGAGATAAGTACATGCGGCACGAACCTCTTTTTCAGGTGTATTTTTTCTTAGATTTTGTATAAAAAAAAGAAAATAACCTGTATAGGGTTGGTCAAATTAATGCCATCCTAGTCACCAGTTCCAAGTCTTTTCGATTGCTGAGTGTGAGACCTTATGTTGGACAAAAGACGGATTATGAAGGACCCAAATGGGAGGAAATTAGCCTATGGTTACAGAACATATGTAATAAAGTAACCGACGAGGACTTGCGCTTTTCTCCCAAACCCCCTGGTAAACCCAAATGAAGGTTAAATTTAAAGACTATACAATAACTACTTTTTTTACTTGCGCTTTGCTCTCAAAGTGTTTACCGGTAAACCCCAAACCCAAATGAAGGTTGAAATTTAAAAACAAATTAAAAAAATTGAAGTAAAATCTGTAGATAAATTATTTTTCAAAATATATTTATATATATATATATATATGATAAAATATTAATAGCTGGAAAAAGGAGTACAAAGCTAATAAAGGAGCACATTTCCAGATTTTTTTTTTGGAGTACAAGGGAGCACAGTGCAATAAAAAGGAGTACGTTTACTCCCAAAAGCAGTACGTCTGGCAATTCTAGAGGCATACGAGCGGCAGATGCTCACAGCAGTCATTTTGTTTGTTTGTCATTTGTCATTTATTGAACAAGAAAATTAGTACAGTAAGATTTTGACTCTTTTATAGTACAACAGATAGAGTGGAACTCAGGTTGTTAATGCATTTACAAAAACATTACTATGTTGATATTAAAAATGCAGTCTAGATAAGTTGAGACAAATAATTGTTAATAACAGTTCTAAAGTTGCTTTTGTTTATACTACTCCTTACGGAAGTAGGAATCGAGTTCCAGGTACATATAGTGTTCACAAAGAACAATCTAGTCGAGGCTACAGAGTTAAAGCTGGGGAGAATTAAATCGTATAAAGGGAACGATTTTGTAAATTTCAGCTTCTCATAAAGATACATATAAAGGCATTTTAGTTAGCATAAGCCGATAAAGAAAGATACAGCTTCTGGCTTCAATGTAGTCCAAAATTTGGCAGTCCAACAGATCGTACCTCCACTGGGATATGTGGTCAAATTTACGCAGGCCATGCAAATAACGAGTGATATTATTAAAAACAACCTCAACCTTATGGACAGACTGTGAGTTTAGTCTATTGTAGATGAGCGCAGAGTACGTCAAATTAGGTATCAGTAATTGGATGGCAAGCTTACGTCTGACGTTGACCGGGGTAAAGAAGGATGAATGTCTTAAACTACGTAGCGCGCAATACACCTTACCTATTACCATATTTATATGATCAACACATGTTAAACTCGAGTTGATTACAAAGCCCAGGTTAGTAATTTTACTTACAAAAGCAATTGGTTTGGTACCTATGTAAAGGGATGGAATGTTACTAACAACCAACATTCTTTTAGAGATAGGCAGCACATACATACGTTTTATTTGGGTCAAAGCAAAGACTGTTGGTTTCTGCCCAGTGCATTATTGATAACATAATCCGATTTATCTTATCACAGAGCTCATTAACATTTTCGAAAGAACTTGACAAGTAAAGCTGTACATCGTCTGCATAAGCATGCATACTAACAAATTTACACACCGAAAAGATGTCATTAAGAAACAGTGTAAACAATATAGGTCCTAGAATTGAGCCTTGTGGTACACCAGAAACTAGTTTCATTGGTTGTGAGGATTGATTCCATACTGTAACTCGTTGAAATCTGTTCTTTAGATAACTCGTCATAAGTTTCAGATGATATTCGCTGAATCCAAAATAATGCTTGAGACTAAGACAAAGGAAATGGTGATCGACAGTGTCAAAGGCTTTGGAGAAGTCAAGGAGACATACTAACGTAAGGTAACCTTTGTCGAAAAAAGAAAGAACGTCATCAAGAATTTTTAACACAGCCGTTGAGCAACTGTGACCAATCCTAAAGCCAGACTGAAGCGGATAAAGCAGGTTCTTCTCCTGCACATGACGGGTAATTTGTTCCGTCATTAAAGACTCAAATACTTTTGACAACGTTGGTAGAATACTTATAGGGCGAAAGTCCGATGGAGTCTGGCGGCCCTTCTTCTTGGCAGTAGGGCGCACTAAAGCCACCTTCCACTGATCAGGGAAACATGATGTGGTAATACAGTGATTCATTATGTGTGTTATCGTACTGGTAATAGACGGTAGTACCATTTAGTAAATTTTAACGGTATACCATCCTGACCGCATGCATTTGATTTGATTTTTAAAATATTTTTAATAACATCACACTCAGACACTGTTGAGAACTCAAATGGGCTACCAGAATAAATCAGATGAGCACAGGAGACAAAACATTGCTGGTAGGAATCAGACAAAGGACTGCTAATGAACGCTTTATTGAGTGTATCTGCGTCTATTGTGCATTCGACGTCTTCACTTCCACATACTCGTAAGCGTTTAAGGTTACCCCACAACACGTTAGGTGGCAGGGAGGAATCAAGGTTCTTCGAATAATACCTGCACTTCTCTTTTCTTACAGCCGCTGTTGCTTTATTTCTTGCTATTTTAAACACACGCCAGTTATCTTGGTTAGGATGCCTTTTCCATACAGATAATGCCTTGTTGCGAGCCTTGATTGCAGCCCGTACATAGCCCGTGAACCAGGGTGACACGCAGGATGTGCTTTTAATATGTCGTACTGGGACATGTTTATTAAAAAGGGCCAATAAGTTTTGGATAAGAATTTCTAGTTTTTCATCAACATTAACCAGACACCAACAGTCACACCAGCACACACTGTCTATATCAAAAAGTAGTGAACCAGTGTCAACCATTCCGTAGTCTCAATACGAAAAAGTACTAGTGGTCCTAGGGTGGCCAAAATTAAGATCAAGCGCGCAGAAAATTTGGTCAAGATCCGAAATGAGTGATAGTCGATCAAACTTTAGTACTGATAAATTATCAGGAATGATAAAATAATCCAGTAAACTAGGGTTACACTTATTACCGTATCTAGTTGGCATATACATATTGACAACAAAAGGCCACACGAGGCAACATTATTTAATAAACGAACACTGAGGGAATCATGTGCAAGAAGGTTAACATTAAAATCACCACATATTACGATATTTTCATACTCAACCAGGTAGGGCGATAAAGAAACAAACAACGGGTCAAGGTTTATAGATTTATGTGATTTATGACACTAGGATTTTGGAACATCTATCAGACAATTCAACAAAAACATATTCTACATCACAATTACCGGATTTACAAATGAGTCTCATATTAATATTATTTCTGCAATAAATAGCTATTCCACCCCCTTTCTTATTAGGTCTATCATGGCGGATCATTTTATAATTTTTAATAGAGGAATGAATGTCATTGGAATTACTAGATAGCCACGTTTAAATAACACAGATTACATCTACATTCGAGTTTCCAAAAGTGTATCTGATGGTGTCCATTTTCATCATTTAAGCTTCTGGCATTGAAGTGAACAACATTGAAGCCCTTTTGCCGATCACATAAAATTTTAATCAAAGTTAGACTGTTTCCATGAACACCATATTTACCACTGTTAAGAGACATAACGAACAGAGAAATTGACAAAAGCAACCATAAAGCGTACAGACTGTAGCTTTGTGAGGGACTTGATACAGAATCTATGACGAACCATCTTTAAAAATATTTCACTAAAGCTAAAGTACGTAAAATTAAAAAGTCATTATAACATTAGAATTTCGGCAAATCATTCGGTTCACAGATTTTAACAGCAGCAGAATTGTTGTCATATTTAACACAAATTATTCCTCTAAGCGTAAATACCGAAGTTAGTTTGCCTGACCGTCGCAGCTTAATAGCCTCTTGCAAAAGCTTTCTGTTGTCCGGCGACGGACTCTCAAAAATTGAAAATTTCCTTTCCAAGCCAACAACTTCAAGTGAAACTGGAGCTTTGGTTCGCTTGCGGTGCTCACGGAATGCTTTTAGTGTGCGGTTACGACCAAGAGGCGGTGGAACTTTATGATGATATTTAGACGTGTGTCAAGTTAGCACTACACTTTTCGAAATTGGAAAAGTTAACTACGGCATTAATTGTAGTGTTTTTGTTGTAAATTTGTTGTGGAAAGAAAAAGTTTGTAGCTCTAGTTTTTTAAGAAAAAATGGTATGTAGTGCTAACTTGACACCATACACCTAGTCGATAGAATTGAGATATCCAATATGTTACTATGCCATTAATTGTAGCTTTTAACTTTAAAATTTGTTGTGGAAAGAAAAAATTTGTAGCTTTCGTTTTTCTGGAAAAAATTGAGTTGACCCTTTTTCAAACAAAATTTAGTATGTAGTGCTAACTTGACACCATGCACCAATGGCGACAGAATTGAGATATTGAAAATGTTACAAGGGCATTAATTTTAGCTTTGTTGTTGTAAATTTGTTGTGGAAAGAAAAAATTTGTAGCTTTCGTTTTTTAAGAAAAAATGGTATGTAGTGCTAACTTGACACCATACACCTAGTCGATAGAATTGAGATATTGAAAATGTTATAACGGCATTAATTGTAGCTTTTAGCTTTAAAATTTGTTGTGGAAAGAAAAAATTTGTAGCTTTCGTTTTTCTGGAAAAAATTGAGTTGCCCCTTTTTCGAAAAAAATCTAGTATGTAGTGCTAACTTGACACCATGCACCATTGACGACAGAATTGAGATATTGAGGTGACACCATACACCTAGTCGATAGAATTGAGATATCGAGAAAGTTACTACGTAGCGCTTGAAATGATATTTAATAAAAGTAGGAAATAATAGATTTCGATGGGTATAAATTATTTTTTTTTTTATTTATATAATTACATAAATTAAAAGACTTATCTCAATTCCATCGACAATGGAAGTTAGCGCTACATACCATTTTCTCTTAAACCACGAAAGCTACAAATTTTTTCTTTCCACAACAAAAAAGCTACAATTAATGCCGTTGTAACATTTTCAATATCTCAATTCTGTCGTCAATGGTGCATGGTGTCAAGTTAGCACTACATACTAGATTTTTTTCGAAAAAGGGGCAACTCAATTTTTTCCAGAAAAACCAAAGCTACAAATTTTTTCTTTCCACAACAAATGTTAAAGTTAAAAGCTACAATTTATGGCATAGTTACATATTGGATATCTCAATTCTATCGATTAGGTGTATGGTGTCAAGTTAGCACTACATACCATTTTTTCTTAAAAAACGAGAGCTACAAATTTTTTCTTTCCACAACAAATTTACAACAAAAACACTACAATTAATGCCGTAGTTAACTTTTCCAATTTCGAAAAGTGTAGTGCTAACTTGACACACGTGATATTTAGTATTAGTGGTGGTACCTGGCCGCGAAGGGCGAAAAATGTCTCTTATTTGCGGAGCCAAAGAATCAATGGAGAGACAGACTTGATTGAAAATGCTCTTGAGATTTTCTGCCTCAGTATACGGTACACCCTTAGTTGCCAACTTGGTGCTTTAAGCACTAGATTTAGTGCTTTTTGAAAATTAAAAGGCGAAAAAAATTATTTAGTGCCTAGTGCCTTTTTTAGTGCTTTTTTCTGAACTAAAATTACTTCGAATAGTTAAAACCTGAAATAATTTGAAATATTTAAGCTGTGGCAGCATCGAATTTATAAGAATCTACAAATTTAAACGGACTAAAATACAACCATGATTGATAAAAAGCTGAAGTTATAAACCCATCTTGTTAAATTCTATTCGCGTTGAAAATGCTAGTACGCAAGTAAGTTAAGTATTTCTTTTTCTCTTTTCTAATTATTTGTACAGAGTGTTTCTTTTTAGCCTCTGAGTAAAACACATCGTTTCTTGGTGCTGAATCCAAATCTGGCCTCACAATTGCTCTAGCACTAGAATTTTGATATATCCTAGCCCCAAAGTGCCAAAAACACGGTTTTTAGCGATATTTGAGGTTATATAATGAAAACATCAAATTTTTTGCTCATTTCTAATTAGGGCATCATTTTCGTTTGTTGCGATTCGATTTTCCTTTCTCGGGATATACCAGTTTTAATGTGCAGTACTTCTGTGTTATGTTATGAAAAAAGCATCCCTTGATTAAAAAAAATTTGGTGCTTTTAGTGTGGTAAAACGCTTTTTTGCCAATTTTTGGTGCTTTTTGAAAATCAAAAGATGGCAACACTGGGAACACCAAACACAACATGGTCGGCAGTGAATTCAGACGCCGCTCCAACTACATGCGCCTTCCCCACTTGCTTTCTCAGAGTTTTTATATCTCGTTCTAGTTTGGCTGCGTTCTCTGCCTATGCATTGATGCGCTCAGCAGCTTCAACGGCCTTTGCAGTAAGTGCAGTAACCTTTTCATCTATCCTCTTTATAAGTTTATTCTCCAGGTCCGCTATTTGGCCTGAGAGACTGTCAAATATCGACTCGAGCTTCTCAGATTGTTGTTGAATTTTTG